AGACATGCATGAATATCCTACCAAATTTTGAAATGGAAGGGTTCTTGCTAGATAGGGATCTGATATTTTTAAATACCTTCAGAGTAGAAAATTCCACAAGTTCTTTTGATCTGTTGCTGTGCTCAGAAATACTGCAGTAAGTTTCCATCTTGTAAACAGTTTTGTTCTTTCTGTTGTGAATTACTGTTGTTTTTAAGTGCCATTGAGTCTGCTCCGACTCATAGCAACCCTGCATAGAGTTTCCAAGGAGCAACTGGTAAGTTTGAACTGCCAACATTGTGGTTCAAACTGACCTTGCGGTCCAGTGCTTATCCTACAGCACCACACTGGTATTACTCTATGGTAAATACCCATGTATTTTCAATGCCATTACACCCTCTCCTTACTTAATGACATGATTATTAGGTTCCAAAGACCAGGCCTCTTATGTGAAATTGGCGTCATGTGAGTCAGGGACCACACCCTGTCTTTCCTGCCAGTTTCCACTCCCTGAACCCCTAGTTGGTCACTGCCCATTGGGTGCCTCCAGTACATCTCAGGATGCACATGATGCAGCAGGTCCCTTCCATACAGTGCTTTCCTCATCACTGAGGTTTCAGCAGAGGTTGGGGTGGGGGTAAGTGGTAATAGTGGTAAGGTGTTCCCTGCTGCTTCCCGATATCTACTCCGGGCAGGGACCCCTGTTGTCACTGCCTATCTACTACCTTTGGTAGGGGCCCCACTCGTTTTTTTTTTTGTTTACCCCAGTGCCACAGCCCCATATAACTCCATTCTGTCTTTCCACTTTTCATCTCCCTCCATTGACATTCCTGGCACTTTCAGGCCCTTGCCTGGCCCTTTCCTTGCTCTCTCATAAGCTTGCACCATTCCACTGCCCCTCTGCATTCTCTGTGACTGGACCACGACCTCACAGCCGTCCCTTGGCCAGTCAACTGCTGTGCCTTGTATGGCATGGTTGTTGCCAGGGTCGCCAGTATATTGTTTAGGGTGGCCTACAAAGGGCAACCTGATCCCTTTCTGGCCCTGTATGGGGCCCAGATCATCAGGGATACGGAGTGAGGATGTTTTCAAAGTTATAACGCAGAATGTTGGGCAATGTGATAGTCGTTAAGTGAGGAGTAGGTGTAGTTCTGTTTGTTTTCTGTAAGGTAAGATATGTCTCTCCTCATTTCATACACCTTACAAAGCAAATAAGAATAATGTTTTTAAATGATTTTTTATCTTTCCTTTTTCAGTCATTAAAGTCTGTAACTGTGATTTTCCTCAAACATCTCATGCCTCTGAAGCTATAGACTCCAAATTTGCAACTTTTCTTATGAAGCTGGGATTATTTTACAGTTAACCACTTAACACTAATGTATCTTCTCAATTTCATACCTAAAAACAAGTCAATACATTGGTCGTTCAGGCATCACTTAATGCTTACAAAGATCAGTCACTTTAATATTCATAACCTGCTTCATGATATTGTATATAATGTAGTATATTTTCTTCTCTCTATAATGATTTTTGTTGTTTTTGGACAGGAATTGGAGAACATAAGTGATTAAAGTGGTATTGAGTGTTTCTGAAGCCTATGAAAGGTGGAAACTCAACCATGATTTCTTTTTCAACTCTACAGCATTCCCTTCCTTGAAGTCTTCATTTTAACTTAGTCTCAGGTAACTTCAATTCTTTTTTTCATAATCATGAATAAGTAAAGTTTTTCAAATACGAAAGCATTTTTGACAGTTAATACTTTTGTATAATAGTTTTCTTTGTGTTAGAATTTATATCTGAAAGAAATGTGTGATTTAAATTTTTTTCTTCAGAAAGCAGTTTTAAGGGAAACTTGATGAAAAATTATATAGTTTTAGGTATTAAGAAAATATTTGTAGCTCATCATGTAATCTTACGTGAAATTGATGTGTCTTCTTTTTTAATACTTTTCCTTATCACGTTATTAGTTTTTTTCATCCCCTATAAGGAGCTCTGGTAGCGTAGTGGTTACGAATCGGGCTGTGAACTGTAAGGTCAACAGTTCGAAACTACCAGCGGTTCCGCGGGAGAAAGATGAGGCTTTCTGCTCCGTAAAGATTTACAGCTTCGGAAACCCTGTGCAGGGTCGCTATGAGTCGGAACCGACTCCACGGCACTTAACAACAACAACAATATCCCAGTACATGAACTCATTGTACACACATTAAAATTTTCAGAATTTCCAGGGAAACACTAATTTCATTCTTAAGAAAATTGGACAAAGGGACCAAATTTAATGGCATTTGCTATGTAATTTTTAACGTGTGAAGAGCATGCCATTTCTTTTATATTTGTACATATTGAGCACTTGTCTGTATTACTGTAATGACCCAGTCAAGGAGCTCTGGTAGCGTAGTGGTTACGAGTCGGGCTGCTAACCTCAAGATCAGCAGTTCGGAACTACCAGCCATTCCACAGGAGAAAGATGAGGTTTTCTGCTCCCGTAAGATTTACAGCCTCGGAAACTCTCTACAGGGTTGCTATGAGTTGGAACTGACTTCACGGCACACATCAAGAACAACAACAGTTAAGTCAAAAAACATTCTACAAAATCATAAAAACCTTTATTAGGCAAAAATATTAAAAACTGTTTGGTGCTGCAGGATCAGCACTGGACTGCTTATTGCAATGTCAGTGGTTTAAATCCACTAGTTCTCCTTGGAAACCCTATACAGGGTTGCTATGAGATGGAACCAACTAGATGGCACTAAACAACAAGAACAAAAACAACATTAAAAAGTCAAGCTATTGCTTCTTATTCTCCATCTAGCTCTATATACCTCTGAAGGCAGTGTTTCGATTTCTCCAAACCTTTTCTAATAAATTGTGCACTCTGATTTACACATCAAAGTAGCAGGTTAGGCATCTGGGAAGAATTCATATTGTGTTCCTTTCCAGTGTTCTTTGAGTTTTAAGAATGAAAAGAAGTCTGAGGGACAAAATCAAGGCTGTAGGGTGTGTGGGTTAATACTTCCAAATGAAATTTTGTAGGAAAGTCCTTGTTACCCTTGAAGAATGCAAGGTGCATTGTCATGATGGAAAATATTTATTTGGTGACGCTTTCTTTGCCTTTTTCTTATCAGTTTTAATTTATTAAAACTTCTTCCTAATGAGCTCTCATGATCATTCTGTGTCTTTTGAGAAAATTTTCAAGATGACTTCTTTGGAATTCTAAAAAAACAGTCGCCATAACCACCTGAGCTGACCTCTCTTTCTTTAATTCATAATTTTGGTCTTTCCTACTTTTCCTTAAAATGCTTGATCCATGTGCAAAGCTGTTGTTCAATGTGTAGTAGCATTCTTGTAAACTTGTTGAAAGCTACAATGATTTGGGAAGAAGACCACTTGAGTTTTGTTAAAAATTTGGTATTATCCCTGGCCTCAAAATAGTTTTTTTCATGGCACAAAAATACCCTTTTTCTGGAGGCCCCTTTGCGAGACTAAGTGTATTACAGACAAAACATGTCTGCAGCTACCCGCTGATCCCAGAGTTAAGTTTAGGCATATTTTATTTGGAATATACCTATGATGAACTGGAACTCTAGTCACAATACTTTTTAACTCACCCTTGTATACTAGATGTATTAATGGGGATGTAGGTGAGTTTGTTGTAACAGAGGCTTAAAAAATAGTCTTAAAAATATTTACTTCAAAACTCAAGTAAATAATCCAGGGATTGTACGTGGGTCTATAGTGAGTGTGACTGGAGTTCCTTTGTCTTACAATGCCATTCTTAATATGAGGCTACCAACTCTGGTCCAAGATGGTTACCATTGTGTCTGACTCTAGCCAATATTGTTGTTGTTGTTAAGAGCTGTGGAGTCTGTTCTGACTCATAGCGACCCTGTATAGGGTTTCTGAGGAGCGGCTAGTGAGTTTGAACTGCTAACCTTGCAGTTCAAACTGATCTTGAGGTTGAGTGCTTATCCTATGGCACCACACTAGGACTCCAATAGGAAGAAGGAAAAAGGGAGGTCATTCTTCGTTTTTTAAAAAAAGTTGTGTGTAACACTTCACATTTCACTTATATCCCAGTGGCTATAGTTTAGTTACCTGGCAAGAGAAACTTAGAAGTTTGAATCTAGTAGCTATGTATCTCATTGAAAATTCTTTTGCTAAGTAAGAAGGAGAAAACAAATTCTGGAGATCAGCCATCTATCTGTCTGTCATTTTAGGATTTGTATTAGATTTCCTTTAAAACATTTTTATTACCCAAGACATTAACTATTGACCTTGGACAGTACTTTGGGAATTGTGCTTGAGTTATAAGACTCAAATAAGTCATTATGGTTCATTGACTCAACACTACTCATCTGGGTGTTATAAGATGGAGTCACTTGTTAAAAGTGACTTGAGATAATTGATCATTGTGTTTCACTGACATCAGGTTGAAGTGATTTGTCTAAAATTTTAGACTCTAAAGCAAGAGTGAAGAGCCATGGATAGGAGGATCTTTTTAGCTACAGACATTAAAACATGGGAAAGCCAGAAACTGTCAGAGAAAGCAAACCAAAATATTTCTACAAATAGCAATAGTAATGTGGTAAGACCTGTACCCTTTCCAAGGCAGACAACTTGCGAAAACTGGAAAACCTCTCCCGGGTTTCATTGTATAAAGCTGCTGCTGTTGTTGAGGCCATCGAGTCGGTTCCAACACATAGTGACCTTGTATAGGGTTTCTGAGGAGCGGCTGGTGAGCTTAAACCACATATGTTGCGGTTTAAACTGACCTTGCAGTCCAGCACATTAACTCACACTGTCGTACCAGGACTCCTATATAAAGCTAGATGATATGTAAAAGGTTACTTTTAATTCTTAAGAGTCATTAGATTATCTTGTTCCTAAAGACAATATACTTTAAACCATTCTTTTCATATGAAAAATATTTTATACTTGTCCTAATGTCAATACTGTGAGTAATATATATTTTGAAGCAAGTATCAAGGAAGTTTCAAAAAGTTCATGGAAAAATTCCATTACCTTTCAGTTCCATTTTTCTCTGAGCCTTTTGAAGACCCCTTGTGTATTTCTGTTACACAATTTATTAAAGGGTTTGGGAAACTAGTTGTCAGTTTTCTACCTTATTTTATGCCAGCATGCATTAACCTTGGTACCTTTATTATAAAAAGTCTGATAGCAATTAGTTTTCTTACATTTGTTTCATACTTACATGCAGTTTTTATATTAGGTCTATTGATTTATGTTTATTGCTAACTGACCATAACACAGTGGTAGTTTCCCCTGCTATCTGAAAGTAGAGCATTTCTGTGAAACCTTCTGTGAGCTGAAATGGCATAAAGCAAAGAGGCAATTACCATTAACTTATATGGGGAAATTTTTTGAGTTGTTTTTCAACTCTAGAAATACCTACCAAATCATACCAAATAATATGTAAAAACTAATATGATGCTAACATATAGTGTTCACAAACACAGTTCAAAACTTTGGTAGCTTGATGTTGAGATGCTGAGTGTAATTCCTGGGGAAGGAGCTTGTTGACGCCGCTTGTGCTTGGGGCGCCCACTGCCTCTTTAACGGCTTGCTGCAAGACAAATGCTGAATGCTTAGTTCCACTTTTCTCCTTTTTTAAGTAAAAGTCTTTGGATTTCTTTCTGTTAGTGAATGTGGTATTAAGAGAATGTTCAGAAAGTGGGCAATACCATTTTTGGCTGTGATGGCATGATGTCATCTTTAATTCTATGGTATTTTACAAATAGCATATTTGGTTTGTTAAAAGGACAAAATGTTGGTGTATATATTAACACTTCTTTTCTGGAATCAGTTCTGGTTACTATATGTTGCTATTGCTGTTTAGTGCCATTAAGTCAGTCTGACTCATAGCGACTCTGTGTAGGGTTTCTGAGGGTATAAATCCTTGTGGGAGCAGAAAGCCTCATCGTCTTCCCTGAAGAACAGCTGATGGTCTCGAACTGCTGACCTTGTGATTTGTAGACCTGTGCTTACCCTACAGAGCTACAGTGTTCCCTAGTTACTATATTGTTGTTGTTAAGTAACATCAAGTTGGTTCCGACTCATAATGACCCAGTAAGAGTTTTTGAGGTATCGCTGGTGGCTTTGAACCATGAACCTTGCAGTTAGCAGTCCAGTGTTTATCCTATAGCACTACATCAGGACTCTGGTACTTAACTAAAAGTAATCACGAGGTTTGTAACATTAACTTATAGTATACCATGACGTCGGTCTCAACAAATATGTATTATCTTTCTTTTATTATGCAAGACTATAGAAAATTCAGTTTCATAATAGAATCAGTGGTTTGAATATTAATATTGTCATAAACTTTGATGGCTACACCAAGTAGATTAGCAGAACGTAGGATTCTATTGTGCTTCACCTTAGCCTTCTCCCCTTTAAAATAAATTATAGTTGCTTCTTAACAGTTTGAGTGCCATAGGCTTGATGTTTTAGTATTTCTAAATAGCACCATTTTTTTGTTGTTATATTGTTTTAGAAGATATTGGTGATGATTATGTAGGATTCAGAATATTCTTAGGTTCTACTTACTTTATTTGAGGGAGGTTTCAGGTTGGATATAAAAATACCTGTTGACTTTGCATTAAAATATAAAAATTGTTTTTCTGTGGTTAAAAACTCATCAGTTTATTTTTTAATTGTCATGCCA